AATGATTCCTTTGTCTGACCACAGATCTTCACTTTACTATCAAAGACCAAGAAAACAAGCACATATTTACATTTTAGAAGCTGTAACCAATGCGTTTAATAAATAATTGGCAATGCGTCAGCGCTTTGAAAGATAACATTTTATACTTAATATCACACACAACAGATTATCATCAGACACTTGCATTTGCCTTGGGATTAATATATTATAAATTATCCAAACAGGCCAAAAGGAAACTGAAGCACCTGATATATTAATAATACTGAATTTAAAGGGAATAAAAAGGAAAGTACTACACTTATTTTCTCTAGGCTTTATAGATAATAAGGAAGTCTTACGCATCCGCATGCCTCAAATATCCAGGTCCTTTAATCGTAAATGTATCCAAAAGAAAAACAGTTCATCTTTAACGTGAAGCTTCATAAACATACGTCAGTCGTTAAACGAGATTACTACAAAATTACTGTTATTTCGGGAATACAGGCTGACAGGAAAAAAAAAACAGGACCTACTACGATCTTGCTATGAAAACAATAATATAAATATCCTGACTATTTGCAAAACCTTAAGGTGAAAATAAACCGATTAAATTGTAATATTTAATGAAGCGGTCCACTGACAACGAACGACAATCTGAAATATCAACATTTCAAGTGGCGCGCTTTACGACATCTCGCGAGATTGCAGTGTGTTCTGTACTTTGTCAGCAGCAGCGGTCCTCCACCATTTCGCTGCGTAAAGTCTCCTCCCCGCGACCGCTACATTCTGCGCCGAAACCCAGTCTCTCCCGGTCCGTATTTTAGCTTCTTCCCACAGACCTAGTGGTACCTCGTTGGGTACCGGGAGACAGTTTGGATTACTGGCATCACGGATTGAGTGCGATTTTACGCGGATGACGACTCCTTCAACGAGAATTTAGTAAAAGAAAATTGGTCGGAAATTTCAGGTAGGTGGGAACTTAAGATGGCGGCCTGGAGAGGGGAGGGGGGCAAGGAGGAAGTAATGGGGTGATTGAGGGGGGGCTCGGACTTACGAAAGGACACAATCCGACTGCATTTCACTTGGTGGCTTTTTTTTTTAACCTAACGTGTTGAAATTTGCTGACACTGTATTGAACAGAGTAAAGCAAAAAGCAACAGCGCTGATGAGTCAGATTTTAAACTGTGCTTACCGAAATAAATAATCCTTTAACCATCCTTTCCTTACCGTCGCTGCTATGGAGCCAGCCGTTGACCAGTGCGGGTCCCCCTAAATCCCCCGTATAATCATTGCAAAATTTATATGGAACTTTCTAACATTGTTTTTTTTTTTGCTATTTTGTGTTTATAGGTAGGTAGTAATATGTACTTGTGTTTGAAAATGAATAATTTTAAGTAATTTATTTCCGTAAAATGAGATTTGACCCCACGCCATGACGTCACGAGTGATTGTCCCCCTCTCTGTAGTGCATGCAGAAGCGGGTTTTAATGCGACTTTTCACATGTCTCTTTGCGAAGTAACTCATCAAATGTGTCGGCATAAACGGGGCTTCTTTGAAGCTTGGGTCATTACATAACTGCGGGTGGGATGGGGCGCCTGCGCATCAAATGAACGCACCCTACTAACTCTTCTACCTTGCTAGTTAGCAAGCTTTTCTTAAGTGCCACCCAAGCAGTGTTTGTGTAACGTTACAAGCTAACGTTAGCCAGCTAACCACACTAGCCAAACCGGCAGGATTTAGGCGTTTAATTGTGTGGCTTTCTTATGAACAACACGTCCCCGATCCTTTTGGTGTCTTTGCCCCATTCGTCGGTCGGTTTATCATATGTACGCAGCCAATGCTCATATCACGATTGAATAAAGATTTTTTTTTTCTCAAGGAAGAGAATAATCTACAAGTTCACGTAGCTACAGCTAGCAACAATTAGTAACGTTTACATTTTAGCAGGGTATAAAATGAATGACTGGAGGCCCGCGCGGTTGGTCACCGGCTTTTAGCTTAAAGAGCGCATGCTGCAGATTTCCCAACATCTTCCTGTGGGCGACTGCAGCACTTGGAACTAGCTAACGTAGCTGCTCGTAAAGTGCTACTTTCACGGAGCCTTTTTATTACTGCTGCAGATACCTCACTAAAACACAGCCAAAGACACCAACTGTAACTAGCAGTAGTTTGCTAGCCTAGCTATCTGGAGTGTTGAGAGCTGCTGCTCTCGTGACGTGACCTGTTAGCGTTACTCATCGTCCCCCACACATTGTGATATTGTTGTTTACTAATTGCACATTAAGTAAATTCTTGCTTTAGCTAATTTATGGCAAACCTCTCTATTAACCGCGCGTAGTTGCGTGTAGTGTGGCAAGCGCAAATAGGTCGCCACACAAGAGTTTGTGAAGTGGAGAGAGGTGCAGTTGTTCCTTTTTGATTTAAATAATATAAAGTTACCGTCCGTTTCTGCTTTGGCTTCCACAGAATATGTGGAGGGGACCATAATTTCAGCATCCTGGAAGTAGAAAGCACAGAAGATCTGTGTCTCACACCACAGACAGGTGAGAAGTTGTTGCTTTGCACACGCATCCAATCAATTCTGACAACATTTGATGGCTTGCTTATGGACTTTTCTTTTGTCTTAGATTTTATTATTATTTTTTGTCTCCGATGGCTAGTAGGCAGTCAGGAGAACACAATGTTTTGAATAAAACAACAGCAAAGTGACTGCTTGCGTATCTCCAAAATATGTTTTGTTTATGCTGAGTTTATTTTATGGCCGTGTTCATTTTTAGCCTCTCAATAAATTACCCACGTCGTCCAGACACTTTGTTAACGACCTGTTTCGTCCACAGGTGCAGTGTGTAGCCGGGGCAGCACAGAGGAAGGACGCTCTGGGGAGGAGGCGGTGCGGCAGCGTGCCCCTCCGGCTGTGGATGTGCTGGGTGGCAACCCCCAGGCTGCACAGAATGTGGCTGGGGAGTCACGTCGGCATGCCCCGCAGCCGGTTGCCGCTGCCCCCCGCCCAGTACCTCCGCTCACCAATCCGTCCACTGTGCCATTGCCGGAGAGCAACAACTCAGCATTCCTCGGCATGGAGAACGCCCCTCCAACCACCTTGCCTGAGACTCTACCGATCAGCCGAGACTCTAAGGAAGTCCCCTCCAAGGAGGCCGTTCCCGAAGTTGTCCAAGTTTCAAGATCCTTGCCAACATCCATCAATGAGGACTGTAGTTCCTCGACTGAGATGCAAAGGCTTCCAGCTCCCTTTTGTCAACCTCTCACCCCAGATGCACAGATTGACAGCACAGTGCAAGAGTTGCAATACGGGTCACAAACTGATAAAGAGAAAAGCCACTCACATAGTCAGACAAACCAGATTCAGCCACCTAGAGAAGGTGCTGGACTTGTGGTTATTACAGGGACGAAGGAGAAGGAGTCCGTCATGTTGGAATATAAACCAGAGACTGGAACAAACATGGAACTGGGTGGAAAAGAGCACACGGGCGGAAATATTCTCCCTAAACCTCAATATCAAATCTGTTTCACAGCCTCATCTCCATCTGTCCCACAATCAAGCGTTGGTTTTAAAGTCCAAGTCACCACAGAACACGGGGCTGTGGAGCAGTCTGACAGGGATCTACTTGTCCACGCAAATCAAGGCAGCCCTATACCTCCGGCAGGTGCTGCGGAGCAGGCAGTTGGTCACCAGGACTCAAAATGGTCTGAGCTCCCTTTACCCTCATCTGACAACAGCGACATTAAACAAACTGACCTGTCGAAAACACACCCTAAAATCATCACAGAGATCTCAAATGAGGCTAGAGAAATACAGAAAGCAAATTCTTTGGAATCAGTTGAGATGTTTGAGCATGTTAAAGAGCTTGTTGACACTTCTCACAAAGAAACACAACCTCCTTCAGCTGAAATACTTGAGACCCCAAAGGCAAGAGGATCGCTTCCTGGATTATACTCTTCTCCTGGAAAAGGAGGCTCGGTGTCCAGCAGCGCAGCGGACAGAGACGACGGCGCCATCAACAGGGGCTGCAATCCCCCTGAAGGAGAGCAGGTAGAGAGTAGCGAGAGAGAAAAACAAACTGACATGCCCACTTCCTCATCTGACTTAACAATGTTGCCCGAGTGCTCTTCCACACAAGAGAGTTTCTCAAAACCCCCTGCTGCACCCCCTCTGTTTGACACAGGCCTAGTTGTCTCAGTGCAGACGGAGCAGGTTGTTGAAGCAGAAACATCTCATCCCTCTGACCAAGTCCCCACAACAGAGACACCACTGACTGCTGAGCTTGTGCATTCAGCCGATGCTCAAGAAATTGTGGTTGTCAGAGAGGAGGCTCATATCAGTGGGGACTGGTCTAGCATGCACCTGAATCAGAGTTACCTCCTGCAACGAGAAGACGGCAGCGTCTGTGAAGCTGCCATCGTAAACGAGCTGAGTTCTGAACTTACTACTGGAGACCAAAGTGTTCAGGCGGATATTGAGTTACACTCACAACCTGTGGA